ATATAAATTTACGCTTATAAACATATTACTTTTGTCAAAAAATGATGATGTTTGCACACTGATGAAAATTTGCGAAGTGACACTTTTTTCGCAGGTATTTATTATTCACAAACAACTGGTATGACATAAAAGTTTGTATGCATCCCGGGTACTAATAGATATATATACCCTCGGGCGACTTACGAACCCTCGGGCCAGAGGCCCTCGGCTTTGTAAAACTGTCGCCCTCAGGGCATAATCATCTACTTAGTACCCTTGATACATAAATAACTATTACAATTTTTGGAGATAGGGCATCCCATTTGGAAAAAGCCAGAAGTATGCAAAATTTCACATTTCTAACATTCAAATTTTGTTTCTGATCATTGTTTCTAAAAATTCAGCCAAAACTGTACAACTTTTGTATTTATACCTTTCTTCTACCTGTGAAGGTAAAGGCTGTAGGTGGAGTGTCAATATATAAAAAAACGCGCTGTACAAATGAGTGGATTATTGCGGAACTTATGGGTGGACCTCTGCGGGACGAGCGCAGCGAGTTCCGCAGCCATCTACTCACCAATATCCAATAGACTATTATTGGACTGTTCAAATAAAGACACTCATCTGAAACGTGTAGTTTTTGAACTAACGAGAAAAATGTGAATCGGGTTAATATCGTATTATATAATATTGTTCTTGAACAACATATTGATGAATAGATGGCTGCGGAACTCGCTGCGCTCGTCCCGCAGAGGTTCACCCATAAGTTCCTCAATAATTCACTCATTTGTACTTGAATAACTTGTCACATTATGTTACTAGTTTGGTAAAGTACCTTATATTACTAATTCCTGTTGAAAGGCAAATTGACAAAAAGTGAATAATCATAATCTTACAAATTTTGACTTTATATAATAGATTATTGTTCAAGTACAAATAAGTGGATTATTGGGGAACTTATGGGTGGACCTCTGCGGGACGAGCGCAGCGAGTTCCGCAGCCATCTAATCACCAATATACTGTTGAACTGTTCAAGTTAGACATTCACCTGAAACGTGTAATTTTTAAACTGCTAATGAGAATAACGCACATTTGAATGAGTCAGTTTAGTATCGTAATTAAACAACATATTGATGAATAGATGGCTGCGGAACTCGCTGCGCTCGTCCCGCAGAGGTCCACCCATAAGTTCCTCAATAATTCACTCATTTGTACTTGAATAACTTGTCACATTATGTTACTAGTTTGGTAAAGTACCTTATATTACTAATTCCTGTTGAAAGGCAAATTGACAAAAAGTGGATAATTTTATAAATTTTGACTTTATATAATAAGTTATTGTTCAAGTACAAATAAGTGGATTATTGCGAAACCTATGGGTGGACCTCTGTGGGACGAGCGCAGCGAGTTCCGCAACAATCCACTCGTTTGTACGTGAATAACTTGTCACATTATGTTACTAGTTTGGTGAAGTGACATTACAAATTCCTGTTGAAAGGCAAATTGACAAAAAATGGATAATCCTATAAATTCTGACTTTATATAATAAGTTATTGTTCAAGTACCTACAGGGTGGCCCGATTCCAGAAATATATAGTTTATCTATATTTGGTTCAGCCGACTCCAAGATATGTGGTTCTAAAATTTGAAAAAATACTATCAGAGAAACAAATAGTACATATCTCAAATTTTACCTGCAGCTTTCACCTGTATGGGTAGAATGGTTCACGAAATCAGTAGTAGGATAGTATTTTTACAATTTTTGGAGCCGAATATATGAGAGACTGTTCAATCAAATATAAACAAACTATATATTTTTGGAATCGGGGCATTGTGCTCTTCAAGAATATAGAATGAAATATAGGGCATCCCATTTGAAAAAAACTGGAAGCATGCAAAATTTCACATTTCTGACATTCAAATTTTGTTTCTGACCATGGTTTCCAAAAATTCTGCCAAAACTGTACAACTTTTGTGTTTGCACCTTTCTTTTACCTGTAAAGGTAAAGGCTACTGTAGGTAGGGTGTCAATATATAAAAACCTACCTATTTAAAATCACCTTATTCTCCTAAATAGTTCTCCCATTCCCATATTTTTATGGGCCATTCCTTCGAAAAACCGTCATTAGAGATAATTTGAATTTGTATATCGTTTCTTAATTTTAAGCCTACTTTCAGAGATTCTAATGATTAGACTTAAACATGGGATAATTCGAGTTTGCACAGTACAAAATCATTTACAAAATTATGTAACTCAAAATTCAGATAATCATAATTCATTAGTTCTAATCTTGATGAATACTTCTAGAAAAACCGACAAATATGTTATGATTTCTTCTAGAAAAATTACCCAGAAGATCAAGAGACGCTAAAAATCAAAATTTGAACTATTCTCGGCTCTTGAATTGCTTTCAAAGCATTTTGCTATAAATTCAAAAGCCGATGATAATCAAAATTTGACTCGTTAGATAAGTTTCCTAGAGGAAATCAATATCCGTTGATAAATAAATCTTTGATCAGTAATTCAAATCTCGAAAAATTAATCTACAACATTTGAACTATAAACATAGGCCTCTAGAGAAATTACCTATATAGCTACCTACTTTAGAACTAGGTACTTTCCCTATATGTATTATGTACGGTATAAAAATTCCAATTGATTCATTTGAATATCTTGTCACGAAAAAACAATTAATAATTGGCTTCCTGTTTATACATATTCTTTTTTTTGGAATGTAGATTACCAATTCTTAATTGTCACATATATCCAATCCAATTTTCGTGACCTTATAATTCCTTGACGATAAGCAAAAAAACCTTGTCGTAATAAACAAGATAAAAACGTTATCCATTAACCTACAGGCTGAAATAGGTTATTACCTACTTCCTGTAAGAAGAGACAATTCTTTTTGAAAACAAAAAATAGCCCCTCATGGTTCAGTTGGAATAAGGTTTTTGTAACCATGTACCTTATGATTATCATCTCCCCCATTTAGAATAGGTACTTGATGGTTCATATCTCCCCTTGTAGCACGAATCATGATTTTGGTCGTTATAATATATCGTTAGATAAGGAATTATTTATCAATATTAATAAACTATGTAATGATGTGTATTAATAATTACCCGCACATAAAAGAAACCAAAGGGTAATTATTAATAAAATATGTGGATCAAAATTTCATAAACAATTAATAATTGTAAGTATATATTTGCGGAATCTCTTTATACTTACAATATCAAATGTACGAAAAGTGAATCAATTAATTGATTATTATTTGCCTGATAAAGCAGAATAAAAAAATTACTTACTATAAAACATTTTACGCTCTAATGAACAGCTAATGTTCTGCATGGTCTCATTTTTTTATTATGGTGGTACCTTGTCCAACAGAACCTCTTCATTCCTTTTGGGCACGCGACTTCAGTATGTCGATGAGAATTTTCAGTTTTAGCAACGAAGACGTTAAAAAAAAATATTTTCATAGTTGTTTAATGTAGTTTATTGTAAAGTGTAGATTTCAATTCAATTCTGGTAGAATCCTACTCCGTATGCAATGTAGGAATACTTTGGAACCTAAATGAGCCTTTTGGGAAGATCAAAACACAAAATTCAACTTAGAATTTCCAAAAGCATTCTGTAAGGCTTTAGAATAATTTGGAAACTTCAAACCCATTTTAGAATGCTCCAAAACAATCAAAAACCGATTTAAAATTTCCAAAAGCATCTTAGAACAATTCAGAAGTTTGAAGCCCATTTTAGGACGCTCTAAAACACTTAAGCACTCTAGAATCTCCAGAAACATTTTGAAAAGCGCTAGATCTTAGGATTCAGTTACAAAACGCTTTTAGGAGCGAATTAAGATTGCTGTAGAACTTTAGACCTTTAATAAGCATCCAAAACAGTTCAAATTCAAATCAGAATTTTCAGGAACATTTTGGAACAATTGAGAAACCTATTTTAGATTAGGATTCAATTTAGAACTGGAAACCTTTTAGAAATCTTTTGAATCGATTTAGAACACTTTGAAGCTTTAATGGGGTTCTAAATTACTCAAAAATCTGTCAGAACAATTTAGAAATTACTGAAAACTTCTAGAATGCTCCAGAACTCTTCAAGCCAAGTTAGAACACTTTAGTACTTCAATAATGTCTTATTTCAGAGAGCCTAGCGCCTGGAATAGACAAAAATTGGTTATAAAATGAGTAATAGATAATGAAATAATAGTCCTGAAGATGTCTTCAGGGAGGAAAGACGTTGGATTTTGTAACATACGACGGACGTTTTTGAAATGTCTTCTTAAAGATGTCAAAAATGTAACATCTTTGAGACATCACTTAGTAAGACTATCTACATAATAACGCCTTTCAAAGTTCCTAAACATGTCGAAAATGTGACCCTTTAAAGACGTCCCTTTTTGTCCATTTACTATAAAATAAGTAGGGCCAGTCACATTTGGTGGTACTGCGAAAACTCTTCTAAAAGCACCCTTTGGTACTTTATGGTCCCTTGACCGCAAACCAGAGCGGAAGGATGTTCTTGGCACGTGTGTCTTTTTGTTTAAAATTACCAGGTTAATGGAAAAAAAACCCATAAAGCGATGGTTTTTGACCCATAAGCCAATTATTGTCAAACTATAAAGTTATTTCAGGTGAAACAGGTTATGGTTCCAGGCTTTGAAAGCATCTGATAAGACACACACAAGCATTCTTTTTTTCATTTGCTGATCAAAAAATCCAAATCTGAATACAATCATGAGATAATACCTTTCATTTTCGTTTCCAATCGAAAAAATGAAATAAATCATTTTCCCATCGCAATAGAGATTTACAAATTCTCACAGGAAGGAAACGAAAATTGATTTAATTCCCATAGGATCTATTATTGAATTCTTCTTTACTTTACCCTCTGATCTACTATAGGTATCATTTTGCCTATTTACCTTTGATGGCAGATGGTAAAAACTTAAAAGTGAAGAGGGTAAGAAGCCACGCTCAGCCAGTCGATTGAGTCAGTAGCAGTTCGTTCTTTCGATTGTGCGGTACGATAATCGACTTTGCGGTACCGACGATGGTACTTCTCCGTGTGAGTAAGCGAGTGTGACTTAAAATAAGTAGGATTTTTTTTTCAAATTCCTAAAAAAAATATGATGGTAAGAATTTAGAATTGTTTTATATTTGCATAAGGAGGAAAAGTTTTCTTTCTCTATACATCTAAAATCTAATCAAAAATAATTTTTCCGAAAAAGTCATTATCTAATCATGAAACAAATTACCTACCAGAGGAACTTTTAAAACGAATCGAATTAGGTTTGTTCCATGATTACCTACTATTGTAAAAAAAAACGAAGGCTATTTTTCAATAAATGGACCAATTAGAATAATTATACAAAATTATTATTTATTTGATTGTTATGTAAAAAAAGGTGTGTTAAACTTTTTTTATAAAGGGGTAGGTACTTATATATTGTCCAAATAAATTACCTATAATTGTCAAAAACTCATTTTCGCTCAACAAATCTCCATTATTTCCCACTTACCGGTTTTAATTGTTAACAATTCATCTATATTTTCAAAACTTTTGTACCTTTTCACCTTATATTTATGAGTAAACATGCAGATAAATCAATTGAAGAATTATTAATAATTAAATATTCAAATTAGCAAAAGTGAATCACTACAAAACAAATTACTAACGCAGCGATTTTCAACAAATTCTTTTGCGGTTAACAATAATTATTATTGTTTAGCTACTTAAGTTTATTGTTTGTCCAGATATGAATCAGCAAAATGGAGTTTTCGCAACAAATGACAATCCTTTATTAATCATCTAAATTAATTTCAAAATTCCTTTTAAATGATTAAATGATTATGGAATTCATCTCATCACAACTTGTCCTAGAAAATCTATTAAGTAAGTCAACAGACATTGAGTTTAGTCACCTAGATTTTTCAAAAAGTTTTGTAAACAAAAGTCAAGTGGAACTAAAACAAGGCAAAAAATATTTGGTAAACATTCACTACTGATAGTGAGTGATATAGAAAAGATTATGACATAAATGGTATAATATTTTCAATAGTAGGTACATATTTAGTCTGAGCCAGTTTTAAAATGTTAAAACACAGAATAAAAACTAAAAAAACTATAAATAATGTAATTATACAATTGCCCTTAATCCTTTCGCAAACTAACATGGTGTAACTCGATTACAGGAAACCCTAGACAACAGCCTGGAAATGAGTTTCAAACGCAGTCCGAGCAAAGTCTGGTGGGGCAGCGAAAGTTTGGAATTTCGCGAAGTGTCTTCCAGTCCTGGCAGTCAAGATTCCGGATTTTCTGATTCCGAAACGAGTGGAAAAGAACGGTAAGAATCAGAACAGAACAGATTATTTCTTGATGAATCAGAGGGTCAAGTATGCATAGGTAACTTGACTCGCAAAATTCAATTTTTTTATTTTTTAGTTTTGCTCAATTTTGATTTTATGAATCGATAGAGAATCCTGACATGGTAATGAACAATTGCCCATATCTTTGGTAAATTTTAAGCAAATTGAAATAAATTGTACATCATTGGAAAGGGCCTTAAATTCTCTATAAATCTGTGCCAAATTGCGTTCGATACCTCGGATAGTTTTTGAGCAATTGAGCCTCAAAGTTGACTTTTAGTCCAAATTTTGTCAAAAACTTCAAACTCAATTTGCTCAAAAACTAGAAATCTGGAAATATTGTAAATTACAGGCCATTTAGAACTTAATAAAAGCTACAAATTCTGGAAATTTTAATGCAATTTGCTCAACGGTTACCAAGCAATTGAGGTTCGAATATTTTGAAATCAGAATTCAAAGGGGGTAGGTACCCTTATGAAAAAATCGATTTCTTTATTTTTTAGTTTTGCTCAATTTTGACTTTATGAATCGATTGAGCGGGCCAAAATTAGTGGAAAACAACCCTGATATCAATTCCAAATGGCTATTTTAGGCAGACACAAAAATAAAAAGAAAATCCTATTTTGGGCTCTGGAAAATTTTCAAAATCCTGACATTGTCATGAGCAATTGCCCATTAAATTTTGAGCAAATTGAAATAAATTATACATCATTGGAAAGAGCCTTAAATTCTCTATAAATTTGTGCAAAATTGAGCTCGATAGCTCGGATAGTTTTTGAGCAATTGAGCCTCAAAGTTGTCTTTAAGTCCAAATTTTGTCAAAAACTTCAAACTCAATTTGCTCAAAAACTAGAAATCTGGAAATATTGTAAATTACAGGCCATTTAGAACTTGATAAAAGCTACAAATTCTAGAAATTTTAATGCAATTTGCTCAACGGTTACCAAGCAATTGAGGTTTGAATATTTTGAAATCAGAATTCAAAGGGGGACCCTTATGAAAAATTCGATTTTTTTATTTTTTAGTTTTGCTCAATTTTGACCTTATGAATCGATAGAGCGGGTCAAAATTAGTGGAAAACAGCCCTGATATCAATTCCAAATGGCCTTTTTAAGCAGACACAAAAATAAAAATAAAATCCTATTTTTGGCTCTGGAAAATTTTCAAAATCCTGACATGGTCATGAACAATTGCCCATATCTTTGGTAAATTTTGAGCAAATTGAAATAAATTATGCATCATTGGAAAGGGCCTTAAATTCTCTATAAATCTGTGCAAAATTGAGTTCGATAGCTCGGTTAGTTTTTGAGCAATTGAGCCTCAAAGTTGTCTTTAAATCCAAATTTTGTCAAAAACTTCAAACTCAATTTGCTCAAAAACTAGAAATCTGGAAATATTGTAAATTACAGGTCAGTTAAAACTTGATAAAAGCTACAAATTCTGGAAATTTTAATGCAATTTGCTCAACGGTTACCAAGCAATTGAGGTTTGAATATTTTGAAATCAGAATTCAAAGGGGGACCCTTATGAAAAATTCGATTTTTTTATTTTTTAGTTTTGCTCAATTTTGACCTTATGAATCGATAGAGCGGGTCAAAATTAGTGGAAAACAGCCCTGATATCAATTCCAAATGGCCTTTTTAAGCAGACACAAAAATAAAAATAAAATCCTATTTTTGGCTCTGGAAAATTTTCAAAATCCTGACATGGTCATGAACAATTGCCCATATCTTTGGTAAATTTTGATCAAATTGAAATAAATTATACATCATTGGAAAGAGCCTTAAATTCTCTATAAATCTGTGCAAAATTGAGTTCGATGGCTCGGATAATTTTTGAGCAAATTTGTCTTTCAGTCCAAATTTTGTCAAAAACTTTAAATTCAATTTGCTCAAAAACTATAAATCTGGGAATATTGTAAATCACAAGCCACTTAGAGCTTAATAAGAGCTATAAATGTTGAAAGTTTTAATGCAATTTACGCAACGGTTACTGAGCAATTGAGGTTTGAATATTTTGAAATCAGAATTCAAAAGTATATAATCCGTAAAAGGGTTTATTGTATTGTACTATTGGCGAGAGAGAAAGGGAGCTACTGAGAAAACTGAGATGGAAGAGTACTGGTGCAGCGGGAGAGCGGGCTGTCGCGGCTCGATGAAAATAACTTTTTTTATATTCAATTCTATATTTCCCTTAAAATTTGACACAAAAATAATTATTCTTGCACATATATATATAAGGACAAATTTCTTGAAATTTTTGGAATGTGAAGTTGAAGCTCAAGAGCTCATTTTTGATCCAATGGAACACAATAAAGTCAAAAAATCTTGAAATCCAACTTTGAGAAGGAGCCCTAAAATACATTTAAATAGAAACAGGCTTTCACATTTTATCTGTTTCAAAAAAAGGTATAAAGTACATTATTTTTCAGAAAAACTCAACAGAAGGAAGAAACAATCCCCGAAGAAAATAACAACGAAGCAGCTACTCCAACGAAAATTTTAAACAACAGTAAGCAAATAGCGAAAAATATATTTAAAATTTCCGTTAACAACTGCGACACCAATAATTTGGCAAGCAACTACAAGGAAAAATGCACCCCCAATAAGGAAAACATCGACCAAAGACTAGTGAAAAGCGAACGGAAAGATTCGCCCCATTTTCTAAAGAAATTTTGCACCATAGAAGCCCCATTAACAGAACCATCTAAACGACAAAGGTAATTTATTACATATATTGGAATACACCAACTTATATTCTAAAAACAGTAGGTCCCTTAAGCATTCACCAAAAGTGAGTAGAAATTTATTCGCCGTCACTAAGAACACCAAAGAATGCCTCGGCGCCGCTCCTAATCAGTATTCAAACCTCATAGAGCGACCAAATGAAGAAGAACCAAACGAAAAGGAAAACAGTAGCTGCTACGACAGTACCGCGAGCGAAATATCGGGTACCAAATCGGTACCATTATTCAAAACTAGCCCTCAAGTTATCACTCAGAGAGCTACCCGATCTGCACCCAATTTTGAGGAGTTTGAGGCTGTGACCTCGTTCAATTCAACTTCCAGCGAGTGCGAAAGTGAGCTCGAGCAAATTTTCGAGGATTTAGAACACACGTCGACGCCGAAGAGTTTTGGTGGGATGACTAATGGGAGGAATAAGAAGTTGCAGGAGAGATTGAGGCTGAGATATCAAGATCAGGAACGTGTTCCACCAATTCATACAGATGGAATCACAGTTGACAATAAAGCAGTGATGCGATGGCTGGAAGAAGCCAGATTGTCCATAGAACAAGAGTGCACCACAATGCTCCAGTGCAAATCCATAGCGGCAGAACTGAGTCAGAGAGTCAGTCATTTGGCTGCCTGCGGTACGACGATTCTGAGAGGCCTTTTGTCACATTCCAGGTGCATCGAGATGGACTACAAGAATTTGAATAGGTAAAAGTTTTTGGATTTTAAATCTATAGTAATAATTGATCTAGTTTTTTTTTGTGTAGTGACTCTAAGCATATTAGCCCTTTAGTTCAAAGCCTAGCAGGCAATATTTTGGATTTCCTCAAAACTCACACTTCGCAAGTGAGTTCTCAGAATTTAAGGCTGTATGATCAAATTCGAAGCTCCACATCAGCCGAAAATGCTAGGAAACCTTTGGCGGAGCTTTTCAGCGAATGGGAATCGATCCAGAGGGAGATTTTGGTGAAAGAGATCAAAAAGCTGGTGGATAAATTGGAAGATCCCACATCGGAAATCGATTTGAGAGCGACATTGACTGGAATTACTTCAGTCGCTTTGAGGAATGGTGATTTGATTGAACATTTTGTGAAGGTACATCATTATTGGGGGTCAGTCAAGTTGTACCTCATCATGCCACCTTGAATTTTGCACAACTTTGCATGTCTTGAACCAAATTTTGCACATTCGCTTTCGAGAGACTATATAGCCTGTTTTTGAATAGGGCAAACTCTGTTTTCAAATTTTGCACAGTTCTGTGGAGAAAGTTATATGCCATCAAAAAATTTATGTTTCCCCTGAACCTCAACCAAAGTTAAATATTCCTTTTACTTTTATTTTTGCACACTTACTCCACACAGTTGCGTGAATATAACAGTAAAAGAAATAATAAGTTTGGTTGAGGTCGGGGGGAAAATTTTCTTGCTTTCATTCGGGGGTTTGCCCCCCATTTTAAAACCCCCTGTAGTCTCAAAAAGTTCAAACTTATGACACAGTCTGCTTTAGGATCGAGGTGGCACAGGGTCCAAACTTGACTGACTTACAATTTTAAGCTCGATAATCATTAAAAAAGTATATCCTTTTCAGGCCGATATAATCCCAATTCTACTAATCCTTTGTGAAAAATGCGACGGATCTTCAATGAAAACCTCAATCCTAAGAGCCTTAAGTACTATGTGCAGCAACTCGTTGGCAATAAGACACTTTGAAAAATTTTCCGGAGTGCAAATCGTGGCCGATATTCTCGAAGAAGAAGCCAGACCGGAACCTGAAAGAAGCGAAGCCGTAGCTCTTTTGGCTCAAGTGACAGCTCCGTGGTTGGAAGACAATCACACGGTAAAAATAATTACATATAGGTAATTTTTTTAAAACCTAAACTAACTATAACAAATTGCAGCTTAAAGGCTTACAAGACTATTCGAAAAAACTAGCCAAATCTCTAACGAAATTCTGCGCGGCAACAAAATGCTGTCAAAACCTACTCCTTTGCGCAGCAGCTTTAGCAAATCTCAGCTCTATGGACCCCAAATCCATCAAATACTTAATCCAATCGAACACTGCTTCAGTTTTACTATCAGCCGTTAAAAATCGTGGTCCCTTAGTCAGCATTTATTTGCTAGAGCAAGTGGCTACACTCTTGGCAAATATGGCTGCTATAGAAGGAGCTCGCTTGCAATTAGCCGATGCTGACGCCCCAATAGCTCTATTGCATTTTCTTAAAGCCCCCAGGCTTTGTCAGAATGAAGATGTTGAAAGGAGGCTTCAACAGAAGAGCGTCATAGCTCTATCGAGGCTGTGTAGTGATGTTGAGGCGGCAAGACAAGTTGTGGATTATGGAGGAGTTAAAAGGCTGGTAGAGTTGTGTAGAGAGAAGCAGGAGAGGTTTAATAGCGACGCTGTTTTGGTTGCAGCTTTGGTAAGAATTTATTTAATTATTATTTGATTGATTTTATTAATTGTTTGTTATTGCAGGCTACTTTGAGGAAAATATCAGAAGCGTGCGGAAAAGATGTTTTGAACGTGCAAGACTGTCAAGAGCTTGTAGAACCAAAGTTGCTCGATTCGTTTTTAGCTTATTCTACACAGAATGAAAGTTATGTGTAACGTGATGTGAAGGTTTTTATATCAAGAGTACAAAAATGTGAAACCAACGTATATTAGAGTGTGAATTAACTGTCTTGAATAAGTACTTCTCTTGACTTTAATCTATTTTACTTTTTAGATATTTATTTTATTGTTTTGTTTTTACTATTCCAAAGTTTACTGAATGTTTTTACCCCAGTAGTAAATTAGGCCAGAACAATTATATAGTTGTATGTGTAAACTAATATAATTTTACTTTTTGTACATGATTTTTCTATAACGTACCCTGATTTGATTGATTGATTTGAAAGGGGAGCCTTATTTACAGACAACACATAGGCGCGCATGTGGTCCATTGTGCTATGCTCCTCTGGTTTGGTGCAGTCACAGCTTGCAGCTCTGTCTTACCTTAGGAGCCCGCAGCTGTTCAAAAAGGCGCAAACCCGCTCAGGCTCCAGGAAAGTGTACCCGTTTTAGATGAGTCCAGACTGTTTACCTACTTGGTTTACTCTGTCTACAAGCTGTTGAAGGTGTTCAGGTGAATGCGCTAGTAGGGCAGCATCATCTGCATATTTAATATTAAGTATTAATCGGAATTCCGTTCACTTTAATTCCTCCAGCTCAGCTCAAGTATCTTTTCCACACAAATATTAAATAAAATTGGTGACAGGACGTATCCCTGGCGAACCCCTTTGTAATAAGTATACAAAATATATCAGTAGTGATTTCGTTGTTACCTCGGCAGTCTGTTGTTAATCAAGATGTTAGATTATACGGATATCCCTAGAATCTATGCCAATCTTTTGCAACCTTGCTAAAAGAAAATCCTGCTTTAAGAGTGTGACTCATTAGACTTATCATCCTGTAGTCTCCACAGTTTCTGGGGGTACTTTTTTTAGGGATGGGTACAAAGGTAGACTTGAACCAATCTGATGGAAATTTACCTGCCTCATAGATTTTGTTGCATAGATATGTCAGAATTTTTGTATCTAGCCACTTCAGAACTTAAGCATGTACCATCGTCACCAAAAGTATCTGGGACACAAATAATGCCTAATAATCTCCTGGACTAATTCTACTGTCATTCATTTTAATGCACTATATTCATAGTTTGACAAATATTTGACAATAAAATTCATATAATAGGACAAGAGCTAATGTGATGCTGTCCCAGTTACTTTTTTCTGATACCACCATCGCAGCTATCTTCCAGTCAGAGTCAGCTGGCCTTGCGCCAGCTTCTGGAGCGTGCATTGGTGGTTCACCAGTTTGCAGGATTTCAGAGCCCGGAAAGTGTGTTTCCAGGAGCCAACCAAGTGCCTCATCTTCTGCAATAGCGCTATAACTACCGGAAGGACGCCTAAAGTGACCCCAGATCTCGTTCTGGGTCTTTCCAGAGAATCTTTTGGAGCTTGGCGGCTGCCGGAAGTTCGTCTACGTATCCGCAGAACGTCCTCCACGATTCTCTTTTGGATCTTCTCATAAGATCTGCGCTGAGACTGCTTGTGGCTGTCCCAGTCAGCTAGTGATCTAGACCGTATGGCCCTGTTGAAGAGCCTGCAGGATTCTTTGCCTTGTCAAGGTTGGAGTTCCACCAAGGGGTTTTCTTCTTTCCTCGATAGGTCCGAAGCTGACAGCTTCGTTCATACGCATCGGTAATTGTGTTGCGTATGAATTCGGCTGTTTCGTGCACTTGCGTTACGCTGCGACATGGCGTGGAAAAATCTTCTAGTTTAGCCCTTAGGATCTCAACGTATTGTCTGTGATCCGATAGGGACGGTTCGTCAGACTGTCCATTTGCTTATCATCGGTGCCATGGAGAGGGAGCTCAATCTTAAGTCCATCACCTCTTGTCTATGCGAAGTGACAAATGTCGGTGTGCTACTACGGTTCAGGATTTCTAAATCTGTGGTGTGAAGGAAGGCACTTCAGAAGACTCCACCAAATGAACTGAATTCCCGTGTTGGGGGATCATCTGTTGAATCTTAGGGCAGATATAGCCAAGCAAACTACTATTGATCTGCCTTGTGCCAGTCTGTCCTTGAGACATAGGTTTACCGCTACTAGGTCTTTAGAGCAGAAGTTAGCAATTAGACTGGACTCAATCCGTCTGTCCACATAGATACAAGTTGGAAGTCCCTTTTATAGAAAAGAGGTCTTTTCACATACATATAACAAACCCTACTTGTGAATTCTCGATTCATTTTTCTCCAAAGGATAAAGTTAATTAAACAACCAAAAAATTATGTATAATTTTAATAAAAAAAATTCTAACAATTTAATGAGAAATATAATTTTGTAACTTGCAGTTATTTTTAATCTTAAAAGTATTGGAATGTTTCAATGATGGAACAATCTCAAATTAGTAAAGGCCATCACAATATTATGATCGTTACAAGCCTTAACAACTTCATCGTCGTTTTTGGAACCTGCAGGACTTCCTACATAAGATACCCCACTCTACAAAAAAACATTCTCATCAATAAAAAAACTCTACATAAAGTTAAATCCTTACCAATCTTGCTCTATCAATATTATCTCTGAAAGGGAAAAACGCATCCGAAGCCAAAGCAACCCCAGACATTTGGTTTAACCAATCACGTTTGTCTTTGTCGGTCAAAGCCGAAGGGACCTCATCAAACATTGAATCGAAAACTTGTTGGTCCATGTCTTTGCCAACGGTCCCGTTTACATAATTGTCGATGGCATTAGAAATTTCAGCCCGCTTCACACCTTTTTTGAACTTCATCGATAATACTTTGGGATGGCGTCTCAGATACCAATTGTCAGCTTTCTCTCCTGCCAACCTGATTAAATTTTATTTGCCAATGTATGCAATGTATAAGTCAAGTTACCTTGTGCAATGAATTCTGGATTGTTGTCCAGCACCAATTCCAATAGTTTGTCCGTCTCTGGCATAGCAAACCGAATTACTTTGAGTGTATTTTAAAGCAATAGTAGCAACTGTAAGATCTCTTATAGCACTTTGTGGGAGGTTTTTATTAGTGGTTGCAATATTTTGGAATAATGAAGCATCAATTATGGCGTCATTTCGCTTTTGCTCCAGAGTAAGACCAAACAGGATTTTACGTTCGATTGGATCTGGTTTGTATTTGGGATCAATCTACAAAAATAAGTTCTCTGTTTCGAAATTAATGCCTTTGCAATTTAATAATTTACCTGTAGAACACAATATCCTCCGTTTTTCTTCTTGTTCAACAAAACTAAAGCTTCGGGAGTGTAGCCTGGAGCAATGACGCCATCTGACACTTCTCTGGATATTATTTTAGCGGTGACTTCGTCACAAATATCGGAAAGAGCGATGAAGTCGCCAAAAGATGACATTCTGTCTGAGCCGCGGGCTCGGGCGTACGCTGAAGCTATTGGGGTGAGTTTTTCTAGAAGATCGTCGACCATACATAGTTTTGCCTATGGAAATAAAAAAATCCTCATTATTGTTTCTATGCTATAAATTTCTGATCAGATTTAAGTAATCACCAGTGATTGTTGTTACACCAGAATAAACAGAACGATTAAAATAAATAAAATGTCTCAACAATAATATGAAACTTATCACAAATTTCTCAATAAAGTGTAATGAAAATACATATGGTGAAATCAACAGAAAAAAATAACAGAAGACCCCCAGCAAAGATAAAAGTAGCTTGTTATTTGAAATATTATCTCTCGTCGCAGTTATAAAATTTCAAATTAATTATTGCAGAAAACAAAAAAATCTTGAGAATTCACCTCATCCAGACTCAATTGTACACCGACAGCGGCTCCAGCAGGTGAAACATGCTTGAAACTGGTAGCAGCAGGTAAACCCAGGGCTTTTTTCAATTCTGTAACCAATTGCCAGCCATTTAAAGCGTCACACAAATTAATAAAGCCCGGAGATCCGTTTACAACAGTAAGAGGCAACTTGGGTAAAGTTGTAAAAATTTGAGCTGGTTTTTGATGAGGATTCATACCATATCTAGAAAAAATTGGTAACAAAAAGTTGAATTTTTGTAATTTTTACTTGCCTTAAAGTAAGTTGAGATACATTAGGTGAATATTGCTTTCTGAAATAATCAGTTATGGCCAGATCGTAGTCAGATGTGTGTGTAAACGCTTTCAAGGCAAGACTTTGCCTTGTTTGTAAAGTTGTATCTTTATTGGCATTGGTTTTGATTTCATCAATAATTTTTTCGTAATCGTTAGGGTCACAGACTACTGTTACTCTTTCGTGATTTTTAGCTGCTGCCCTCAATAAAGTAACTCCTCCTAAATTAAACATTTAAGTAGAAGTTTTTCAAAGTTTCCTTAAATATTATTACCAATATCGATATTTTCAACTGCATCCGCTATAGTAACATCAGGCTTCGATACCGTTTGCACAAACGGATACAAATTACAAACCACAATGCGAATCATTTCGATGTTTTGTTTCTTCAAATCTGCTTGATCCGATGGAATCAATCTGGACAAAATGCCACCGTGGACTGCAGGGTGCAACGTCTTAACTCTGCCCCCCAAGATTTCAGGTGCGTTTGATATTTCAGAAACGTCTCTGACCGAGAGGCCGGCATCGCGCAAAGATTTGGCCGTGCCGCCGCTGGCTACCAATTTGAATCCCAAACTGTTGAGTTGTTGGCCGAGCTCTAGGAGTCCCCTTTTGTCAGAGACAGAGAGGAGCGCTAGAATTTCAATGAGAGTAATGAGTTTTATTCAGAACTGTGCGGTAACTAAGGTACCTATACCGTACGATTTTGTGTGTGGTAAGCAACATATTACCGCACGCTGTACAAAATAATGACAAAATTATTACTTGCTTATTAAGTACCTAAACTTTACTATAGCCTGTAATCAAACTTACTGGCAGTGACGCATATAATGCTGCAACCAACGATTAGGCAGGCGGCAACTTAAATAAAAGCTATTTTATTAGGGTACTTTACTACTTATTAATCGATTAATGGCCATTTGCACGGCTATCACTTAACTATCACTTAAGGGATATTTAATGTAAGTGGAGCTTTGAATGTGACTTTTGTTTCTTCAAGAGTTACATTCAAAGTTTCACTTGGATTAAGTATCCCTTAAGTTATAGTGGTACAAATGGCCATAAATATGCACGCCACTGGAATCATTTCCCCTGACGTCACACAACCCGCGCCACTCTGTATTTGAGGAATGAGTCAGTGTCAGTAATTTTGCTATACAGGGTATTCCTAAATATGATGTAAAAATGGAAGGGGCTCATTCTTTGGTTTATGACTAAAATTTCTATTTCTATTATATTAAACATAGGTCTGCAAACGCTTCGTTACCGATCTACAGGGTGTTGAAATTTCAAATTATTTTTCGTTTTTAGCTGCTGCAATTTTTGAGAGATTTAGCTCAAATTTGGAATATAGGTTATGTAATCATATCAAACGTTTGCCAGAATCTACAGGGTGATGTTTTTTTCAGGGGTCATGCTCCCTTTTCTGCCCCTGAACTTTTTTGCGGTGGACCACTGGTAGAGTCTAAAAAACAAAATATTTTTTCTACCTTATTTAGAAACTTTTTGTTCTCTTGTAGTTTTTCGTATCACCGACCCTTATCGAGAAAAAAAAAAAAACTGTATAATTAGCTACATGGAATTATAGTGACTAAATAAACCTTTTCTTCCTACAGTGTCGACAATTGACGTCCCACCCCTATATTTTTGCTCATTCTCATTAGGAATCTAAGAATAAACCACGCCCTCGCCACCATATTCTTGCTCATTTTCAATAGGTATGAATACATTAAAATTTCAACACCCTGTAGATCGGTAACGAAGCGTTTGCGGATCTATAGCTAATAAACACTTTGAGCAGGTCCTGAATTTCAAATGTATCCGTATCTGCATCGATCTGCGCATGCGCAGAATAGATACGGTGGTTCCGTTGCGTTGCGTTGTCCGTATCGTTAAGCCCTTTTTACAATGGACGTAACGTAACCGTAAACACATAACATAAGTCCTTAGCATGCGCACATTAGATTTATTTGCGTCAAATATGTTACTGGAAACGCAACGTGAAAGAAGATGAGAGTTGGTCATCTCTTACGTTGCGTTTCTGGTGAGATTTTTGACGCAAATAAATCTGATGTGCGCATGCTTAATACTTATGTAACGTCTTTACGGTTACGTTACGTCCATTGTAAAATGGGCTTTACCTGCCTCGCCGCGTATCCGTATTTGAAAACGTATCTGAATCATTTGACACTATTCAGAGATCTTCCTATCGGTTATCACTAATATATCGGGTCTTAAAAAAATCTGATCAGAAGTCGATGCGTTCACGGATGCGGAAACGGAGACGTAGAAAAATTCAGGATTTGCTTAAAGTGTCTACTTTTAAGGGATTTACCGATCAGTCATCTTGACAGATAAACCATAATTAAGCGTCATTTGCCAACAACTGGTTTTAACTGACGTTAAATGCATTGTTTATCTGTCAAGATGACCAATCGATCAATCGCCGAAAATTGTTTAGAAATTTTAGACTATAGTCCGAATATTACCAAACGTTAACCAAAGTAACCGAATCGGTTGACACTGTTTGTTGACAGATGGTTACTGAAAATTCCGGTAACTTGGGAAATGCGAATATAAAATAAAATATATTTGACAGAAATTACAGCTGAAACCAACAGAACCTACATTTGATGGTCGGTAACTATTTTGACATTTGGTTAACCACTGTTTTTGAAGTGGTTCGATCCGGTTCAATTAAGCCTAGTTCTTATGGAGCGGAAAATCGCGTTGCGGTTCCGGAATATCGCTTTCCGTTCAAGTAGTAATCTTTGCCGGTTCACATGAAGCGAGATTCCGGAAGCGGATTTTTAGTTATATTTAGGGTATCCCACATTATATTTTAGTGATTTTTATCAAATGTCGTACCATACATTTCACAGGTGACAGTAAAAAGTGTCTGAAAATAAAAACTCGCGCAAAAGTTAAAAATAGTTTCCACATTTCCCCGCTGCGGGACAAATTTTAAAAATTCCGCGTTCGCAACGCGATTTTCCGCTCCATGAGAACTTTAGGTTCGAACCTGTACATTTTTGCGTTGAACCAGTGACGTCACATTGAACCTGGTTCCAAAAAGTTCGAACCGGACTGATGGCTTGTTCTCCGTTGACATAATTTCAAGCCTTTAATTTTCTCGCGTTCTCAAGTAATGACGTCATCTACAAATTGGTCTAAACCGTAGTTTCGAACCATTCGCCTCGCGAGAAACCGCCTCAGATTTCAGGAAACCGAGGTCCAAAAGTAACCACTTTTCCTAAAACCAGAGTAATTTGATTACTTTTGTACCGCGAAACCACAGCCTCAGTCATAAAATAAACCAAAGAGTCATTCCCTTCCGTTTGTACATGATATTTAGGAACACCCTGTATATGAATGATCCACTGTCAAAGGCGACCTGAGGTGATTTCTCGCAACTCAAATGTTTTAAAACTTTTTTTAAAACTAGTTCAAAACGGTGTCACATGACGTCATAGATTCTTGGCGCGAGAAAAAATGGTTTGAAAAGTTGGATTGGATTTGTGATTCGGAACGGTTCGAACCAATTTTAGTGTGAAGTCAGGGGTTCATCGCGAGAATAAACTGTTTTAAGCCTGTTTTGAACTAGTTTCAAAAAAATTAACGCCAGAAAACAGCTCTGGGCTGGAATCACGACAAGTAGGGATTTATTAGAACTCTACTTCCATGACGTCAGGTTGCCTAGCAACCGTCATCATCGCCTGTAATGTGCGCGATGAACAGGTCGCGGGTGTCACAACCACAGCGGGTGTCGTCATAAGAGTAGAATTCTACTTGTCGTGATCCCAGCCCAGACAAGCCAGACGTTAATTTGTTTTATTTTTACCTGCGTGAGGAGAGTGCATTTCACTGTATTTATTTGCAAGTGGAAAGTAGCACTTTACCGCATAATTTGCGGTAAAGTAGACTTCAAGGTGTGCGGTAAAGTAGACTTCAAAGTGTGCGGTAAAAGGTCTGTTCCCACAGGAGTCTCTGACAGTTTGCAAACTGTCGGTAAGCATCGCCCATGCATGTTTCCAATGCTGTCGTTACAAGATAAATCTGTAACTCAGCTGAGCGATTGTTTCTGACAGTTTGCAAACTGTCAGAGACTCCTGTGGGAACAGACCTATAGTATCACTTTCACATAGGAATTAAAATTGCGTCCGTGGCTGTCTGTCACCCTTGACAGTGGAAGTGAAAGGTGAACAAGTAGAATTTTAGGTGATAGGCAAGGTTACTAAAGTTAATAGGTTGCCTGGTAATGGGTAATTTGATGACGCGTCTGGGGTGCCTAATGGAGATTTGCATTATGTTGAGGCATCCCAGATGACATCATAAAGTTATCAGGCAACCTACCTCTCTCAGACAACCTTGGGTGATAGGTAGGTATTGTAAGTAACTGAAGGTAGGTAATTGACAAGGATAAGACAACAACTACTACAGGATAGCCTATCCTCAGAAGGCCTGTGTGGTACAAATCTGAAGCCCCCCACCACGCCAAATCATCAGTTGTGACGTAGGCAGCATGTCCTTGCACCACAGGTTATGATTCTGAAGGCATACTTGGTTTTACTACATTAATTAACATTCTAAAACAACATTTTCAGATCTCGTTTCCATCTTCCTCTTTGTCTATTATGTTATTCAAAATTAAATAATATTTATCATCCATCACAAATTTAAATTCTCAAATACGACCTCTAGTGCAAACAGCTGACGTGAAAGCAGAGCTATCTCATCTAAGCTATTAATATACAGGGTGTTTCATTTAGAAAATGTATATTTGGTTTGTAATTTTAAAACTATCACTGACTACGCTACTGGAATCTACCCAGAAAGATCTACAACAAGAACTGTCACACAGGTGTTCTTGGTGGAGAACAGTCGATTGTACTATCGATAGTATTCAACTATCAAAGCGTTATCGATTGTTCCACTGACTATCGATAGTTTGCGATAGTAGCTTATAGCGATTTCTACTGGTAAATTCAGTGGCTGTCAGTTTGTACTGACTATATTTGTGTCTGTTTCAGCCAGCATGAGAAAGAAAAACATTTATATGCACTGGTGCTGCCACTAAAAAACGCTTTTCGTTACTAACGTAATGTAGTGTCACTGTGAAACTACTTAAGGACTATTCACACACATCAGTTCCGTATCAGTTCTGCTTCAGTTCAGGCCGTGTCCAGTTCAGTATCAGTGCTACCCGTGCTTCATCAGTGGTGACAATTCAGTGGCGGATTTAGAGGGGGGGCGCGGGGGGCGCGCGCCCCCCCCTATTGAGCGACGCAACAACGAAATTTTTAACGAAAACACAAACATATTCATCAAGCATTATCCAACATGAAATTCTATATGGTTTTTGCTATTTTTCCAAATTTTTAATACTTTTAAATACGTTTGGCAGCAGCGAGCTGGGAGCGAATCGACTGCGGATGACGTAAATCCGCACCAACTTTGAATTTAATCTATAATTGAAAATTCCAATTAAATTTAATCTCCGATTAAATTAAATGTTGATGTCAAATGATAGTTTATGAAAATCTAAGATAGGAATGTGAAATCGGTTTTCCTCTGAAATTAACCGTTCAGGTTTTACAGCCTGTCAAAGTTGCAAAAAGTCAATGTTCAACTGTCAATATTTCCAAAACAGTTGAACTTAGGTATAGGGTATATCACATGAAATCTGCTCAGAATTTTACGTAGAATCCAAATATGCAATCACATACAGGGTGTTTTATTTGAAAAAAAGAAAGTTGGTCTAGATAGCAAACAAACCAGAAGTGACACAGGCAATACGTTTAAGTAGAATTGTGGGAAATATTAGGGACATAAAGCTACTTGAAATAATTCATCGGTATCGGTATCCGTAACGCAACTAGATACGTTGACAAGCGAAAAGGCTGTTAAAGCGCTCCCTGTTCCGGTAAACGTAAACGCATTTCATAACCTAGACATTTTTGTCTCAAAACTTCGGCGTTTTTATATCTAACCTTAAAATTGTTATTTTTTTTGCGATAGAGAAGCACTAAACACACAAGAAACTCAAGAAAGTATAAACTAAACAAATTAAATCAACCCGGAAGAAAAGGGAGGTTATATTCATTTGAAATTTGACACATGCGTCAGGAATGTCAAGATACGTTACCGATACGGATACCGCGAGAGGGCCGTAACGTTACGTTGTACACGGTATCTCGGCCTCCGTATCGCTTCTGCACATGCGCAGTACGATACCGATACGGATACCGAGCAAAAAATACGGAAGCTTTATGTCCCTAATTTACTGAGCAACTTTCATTAAGGTCACTTTTTCGTATACGAGGTAATTAGAAAGTTACAGGTATTATACGCGACTTTTTTGCCACTCTGTATATTTAAGTCGTTTTTTTATTATTTCTTATCTGAGCCTGAGGCCCTGATGGATCGCCCCCCCCTAGAAGGAATCCTAAATCCGCCGCTGTGACAATTCACACATATCCGTCTGTAGTTCGTACCATGGTTTTAGTGAAATGTCAGAATTCAGGGATCAAGCGCAAATTCCAATTAATTTCCGTCAGTGAAATACACAAAATATCGTTGCCGACTTTAATAAAAAAACACGGAACTGACACTGACGCAGCACTGATGGTAAAAAATGTCACTACGCCGGACTTGTTTGAACAGGTTCATCTGAGATTAGGCAACGATATTTTATTTTTCACTGCCACTGCCACTGATACTGAAACGGCACTGATACAGAACTGATGTGTGTAAATAGTCCTTTAAAGCCGTGTTCGTTTTTGTCATCTTTTTCGTCGATTTGCTCCGAAATTTTGACAGGCACGTGATTTGTAAATTGAAAACTGATCCAGTCACTTGCCTGTTAAAATTTCGGACCAAATCGATGAAAAGATGACAAAAACCATACAAAAACCTTAAGACAAAAACGAACACGGGCAACACGACCATTTTAAATACCATCGATAGCAAAGTTCGATAGTTATAGATGTTATGGGTATGTGCATTGACTATCGATAGTTCTCCACCACTAATCACTTGAGAGAAGAGAGGAGAGAGCCCAAAATGAAAAATTTCAACATTCGCGAAAACCGCATCCGGCGCATCCAATCTTACTTCAATAGCAATACCAAATTATTCCTTATGTACAACAACCGAAATGGGACACCCTGTACTAAAGCGTGCGGTTATATGGTAATTACCCCACCGCACCGCACGCCCTTGAGGAATTACAAGCCTCGTCTCACCGACTCGGTTTGCAAATTTCTGTTGCGTGCGGTAATAACCCAGTTACCACACTTATAATATAATAATACTATTACTTGAGTGAATAATGGCGTTCTTACCAATATTTCCACCTGTTGATGCCATAATTTAAAGAGATTCGTAAAAAATTAACTACTTCGTTGGGGGGTTCACTGTAAACACTGATAAATTTGTTTGTTAGCGCAATTATTTATAATATATTGAAAGGTCAAATTTGTTAACTGTACGATACCCTTTGAGCTTTTATTTTTATATGATGAAAATTTGAATTTAAAAAAAAATCGTGATAACGCCGATAACCTTATTTTGTCACATGTCATTCTTCGTTAAATTGTTCATTGTATTTGCCATTGTTTATTGCCCATGACGAAATTGAAAAAAGAAGAAGAATCGTCGTGTGCCATGGTTTTTCGATATTCATAAGATATCGATACGATATTCTTTCAACGTTTTCACATGAGAAAATATCGATATTTCTGATTTTATGTTCTAGATTTATCTATTTTTTGACTATATTCAAACAAAAATGAGTTTATTGCACGTAGCATGTAAAACAAGATATCCAGTCATACTTTATGTGCAAATAAAACACCACAATTACCTTAAATTATAATGTTTATTTGAAAATACAAATAGACAAAATATAGATTAACGGTACGATTTTTGGTAGCGGGCACGGGCACCTGGACCACCAAACTTCTTGGGTTCGCAACGACGAGGATCGGCTACCAAGAGGGTACGATCGTATTGGATCAGGATGTCTTTCAATTCCTTTTTGGATGCTTCATCAACATCTAAATAGAAAAAAAAGAAAAAATTAATTGTCTGTGGCAATTTTAAAGCAAAAAAAACTTACATTTTTGATAGTAAGCTACCAAAGCCTTAGAGATAGCTTGTCTGATGGCGTAGATTTGGGATACATGTCCACCACCGTTTACACGTACTCTGATATCGACAGCAGAGAATTTGTCCTAGGATACATTAGAATTTAAAAATACAAGCTTCATATACTATACATTTTTATTAAATGTGGGTCTTGAATCAGAAACAAGTGCGATTTCATTATGAACTAAATCATATTCGGGATAAATGTTCATCATTTTGACTTTTGAATTTAAAATAAGACAAAGAATAATAATTACCTTTCCTAAAAGTAGGATGGGCTCTTGTAGTTTGTCTTGGAGCATTTTAGGCTCGATCTGGCTCAAGGGGCGTCCATTTACCCTCAAAACACCGCGTCCCCTTTTGCAGTAAGCTACTGCTGTCGCAGATTTCTAAACAAAGAATTAATAATAATAAATGAAAGTATGAAATTGTTTAAAATTATTATTGAAAAATGTGGCTCCACGTTGTTTTTGAGGTTAGCTCAAGTAAACTCACCTTCCTGCCGAACACTTGGACGGCGTGGATCGGTTCTCTTTTGGGCTAAAAATAAAAGAAATCATTAGGAAGGTTTACCACTAATTAATAATTAGTTTTTTAAAGGAAAAATATAAAAATTTAAAAAATTACTTTTGTTGCTGGGGTCGTCATTTTGCCGAAGTTGACAGAAAAGAAAGGAAACCCTTTTTGACTTTGACAGATACATTTTTCCCATTTGTCAGTTGGAATGAATTGTTAGTGTTGGTGCTATGTTTGTCTCACTCTAGCACATGTAGATAACATAGGTTATCAAATAAGTTGAAAAGTTGTATTTCCTGGTTTGTTTAGGAGGCGGGAGATTTAAATGTATAGACAGAAAATAGATTGAAATTCACTTTGTTGGAATGGGGACATTCACCATATTTGAATTTCATTGCTTTATTATTTTTAATCAGTTGTATTAACCAAAATAAAAATAACCTTGCTTCCAGTTGGGTTTAAAATGTCCTAATTTTGTTTAAAATAATTTTCAAAAATGCTGTTTTCATCCCACATATTTAAACGTGCTGGGATGGCGCCATTGTATGACGTATATACACTTTCCGACCAATAAGAATCGTTCACAATAACTCTGGCGCACATCTTATATGCTTTCCTTGTCTAAGCTCTGAAGAGTGACAATGATGAAATTCGTCATTCGTTATTTGCATCTTGTTCGTTTAACGCTGGTCAACATAACCTCTTGACAGTTAGACAGTGCAACGTTGCCAAACTGAGTGTCGTGATTCCTTAATACTAACATGACGTGGCATAAATCCTTTTTCAACACTAGAAAAACTGTTGTTCTACAACTAAACCCACTAACAATTAAAAAACTGCATTAATTTTATAACTGTAGTCCAAAATATACAACAAAAAACTATGTTATGCATCCTTGCAAAAACGAGGTTTCTAGAGGCAATCTTGGAAATCAACAATGGCAACGACAATCTGACAACGTAGTTATTTGCAGTATATTTTTGCTAGTTGTAGGGACTGATGTCATATTCGGCGGGTTTTCTGTGGCGTTTGAAATGCTGCCGAATTTATATTTTTTATTAAAAATTAACGACAACTCAAATGTTCCCCAAAATAGTGCTATTAGACTTAGTTTGTGTTCTAGAATTAGAAAATAAAATAAAAAAGAAACACTAAATATCCCCATTGGAATTTAATTTAAATATATAAACCTCAGTGTATAACAATTTTATTTCAACATCTAACAATCAATAAATTAAATAATACAGTTCAAACTTCGTCAATGAACAAATCATGTCCATCTTCAACAATGAAAAATTCATCACGGCAAATCTGGCTGCCTTATCCTGGACTCTTTGTTTAAATTTTTACAGTGGATCTTCAACATCTGCATGATGTCGTTGTTATAATCCGCTGGAATCGGTTTTACTTCTGAGGCCCAGTAGTAAATGTCCCAGTCATTTGAAGGACCATTAATCAATCTGTATTAAATTAAAATATAATGGATTTTGCAAACCTATAAAAAAACCTTCTCACTTATCATAGGTATCAATCTGCTGAGGAGTAAAAGTATCCAAATGTTTGGCAATAAATGTACTGAGTAAAAGGTCATTTTCCAACATGCCCCTTTTCCTTGACTGATAGACTAATCTGGAAAAAAACACAAATGATTTTTTGATAAAATCAAGGTACTTTTGTTACCTGGCTTTACGCTGCTTCAAATCCTCGTTTTCCCTTGACAACGGCCTGGGAATCGTAATGGTTGGATCCTCGGGTGGGTCTACCATCACGTCTGAAGCATTTCTAGCAAAAATGCCCAAATTTATTGGTTTTGTGAAGATTTTTCGCTGCAAAACGGAAATTTTAGGTTAGAAAATTGAAATTATATAATAATCTATTTAAAACAAGTATTTACTCACTGTTGCGTTTAGGGCTTTCAAGGAGTTCATTCTGGAAACTTATCACAGGGATTTTGGTATTTTCAAAGGGATGAATAATTGATTTTATTTGTGAGAAAATTATTTGTTTATTTTTTTTTTGGATTTATTTTGAATTCAAATGTCAAAATTTTCAAAGTTTAACTAGAGCAGTGTTGCCAGATTTTGATTTTGAAGTGTTACTAGATCTCCTGTTTTCACTCTCAACCTCCTGTTCTACTGTTTTCACTATAAAATCTACTGTTTTCAGCCTCAATGTCTATTTTTCGGCTTTTTTCTATGAAATCTTCGGTTGATTTCAGTAATTTTTCGTAGAATATTGGACTGCGCATGAAAGAAAAAAATAACGATATAATCCAGCGGCACGCCATTTTTATTGTTCGTTGTTCTGATTGGATCTTTCTGGTTCGCCATGATTCGTACATTCGCAAATATCCGAGTCGACAAGGCCTGCGAGTGACGTCACGATTCTTAGCAGCATAGCAGTTTATAGTGGTGACGTCACCCGCAGGCCTCCATGAGATACTTGCGATTTAAGTTCCGCTTGTTTTTTTGTCGATTTTAAATGTAGAGAAGGTGATTTTACCAAGATTTAAACATTTAGGAATTCGTTTTTTGACCTATACTGTTTTAAACTCGGCTAATGCATTTTACGCCAAGAGTTGGTAAGGTCTGCGGCTGAAATGGCGGACACTTTCAGCTCAATGAGCAGTTGGGAATCTCCTAATTTTGTAACTACTCAGTGCATGTACTGTCTGTATTTCTCTTTCAAAAAATAGATTTTGAAATCTCCTGTTGAAAAAAGCAATCTCCTGTTTTTTTGGCTACATTCCTACTGTTCTCAGAAATTTCCATCTGACAACACTCCACTGCGGCTCGGCAACCGATCAACCGTCCATGCAACCGGATTTATGACGTCACGCATAACTCTCAATAAACCTCTAAACAGCAAAAACATGAGAAACTAAAAGGAGTATTATAAAGTTAAGGAAAATAGAAAGAGGTCAAAATTATGGTAATTTATAATATGTATTATTGCATTCGCGATTTTACTATGTAGTTTTCTGCAAAATTATGATACAAATACATAATTATGGTACGCCTGGCAATACTGAACTAGAGAGGTGTGGCAAGCATAAAGTCTATCTTTGTCTAGTTCATGAAAAATCGGAATAGCTGTCTCATAATGGTGGATCCATCGATGAACAAGAGAAGGGCCAAGTTTTTAAATTCACCATTTGCCTATGCGCTTTTCTTTTGATAAGTAACCTATCCTTGTTTTGCTGCTGTCAAATGACAAAGACTGCATTACATCGGCGAAAATGCACATACATTTACGTCGGCCGAGTTCGTTTTTTTTAAAAATTTATTTCGATGATTTTAAAAACTTGCCAAAGTGTCCTGGGGCGAGTTCAGGAATAAAACACCCAGTGTGAGTGTGACACCGGTGCGACGCCCTAACTGTTCAAAAATGCTAGACGGTGCTATGGGCCCAATGGCCAATTGTCAATTCAGGTACACCCATAAAATCGCACTCGCACCCTGTGCGTTATTTCTGAACTCGGCCCTGCGTTTTTATTCCCATCAAATATTAGACGATTTCGCCAAGTTTTTGTTGGTAGGTAAATTGGTTAACCCTTAGATTAGGGAAGAGAATGGATACCGCGCATCCTATAGGCACACTGATTCAATTCTGTTACCACGCCGCCATTGTTTATGTGGCAGACAAAGCGAATGCAGTGTTTGGTATTTTTCGTGTATTTTCAGTGAAAATCAGCAGTGAATTGAAAAATAGTGAATTTTACGATGGTGAATTGTTCAGCCTATGGATTTAAAAGTCGCAGCGAGAAAAAGGAAGCAGGATATTTTTGTATTAATAAAATTTGTTCAAAAAAAATCCTGTCTTGTCATGTTTTATTTTAAATATCAAATTCTCCTGAAAAATAATTAAAAATGCAGAAATTTAAATAGCACCTCATAAGGTATTTTTATTAATCTGTAAAATTAAATTTCTTATTATTAATATCTTAAAATAAAAATAAATCGAAAATTGATAATTATCGGCGATGTGGCAGGTGGTAACAAATGCCCTTGAGTTGTTACGCATCCACTCTCTTCCCTAATCTAAGGGTTAACCGCTAGGTAGGTTCTTCGTCACAGTGTTGCCAACTCGGTAGAATTTCCACTAGTTCTAGTGGATTTGAAAGTCGTCTAGTGAAATGGTTTTACCAAATTCCACTATAGTGGTAATTTTAATGGGATCCACGGTTTCTAGTGAATTTTTGGTGATATCTAGCTTTCGTTAGTTTTCGAGACTTTTTAAAATTTCGTTACTAGAGCAAATAGTGCAAGCTGCTTATCGTTCAGGTACAGCCAGAGTAGAGTAGAGTGAAAAGAGTTAACTCCACGAGTATCACCTCGCGAGATCACATACTATCCATCCGCTCCAACTCCGTTTTGACAAGCCGAACTCACCCCAGAGACTCACCCATACCAAAGTTTCCCAAACTCACAGGTTCATTGCTCACAGGTGATGGTTTTATGTTAACTGTCAACATTGTCACTTTCAAATTTATAGGCTGTGGTCCAAATATAAGGTTGTGGTTTCGCGGTCCGAAAGTAATCAAATTACTCTATTTCTTTTCACGTGGCTCCGGTTTAACTAACCGGGTTACAAAACGGTTAGAGAAATGACATACCGTTTTCTAACCCGGTTACAAAGTGACGTGATGGATATCTACCACTCGAATTTGAGCGGTATGTTGCGGTTTGTTATACCGGAGGCACGTGAAAAGGGTTTCTGGTTCCTGGAAAAGTAGCTACTTTTGGACCTTGGTTTCCTGAAATCTGGTTAACTAAATGTCAAAACATTTATCGGCTATCAAATTTCGTTTCAGTGGTTTTATCTGTAAGTTTTGTCAATTATTTTTTATTTCATATTCGCGTTCCCCAAGTAACCAGAATTTTCAGTAACCCATCTGTCAATCGATTTGGTTACTTTGGTTCAAGGTTTTTTGAAACGAGGATGCCTGATAACTTTTATGACGTCATATGTATGCCTCAACATAATGTAAATCTCCATAAGGCACCCCAGATGCGTCATCAAGTTACCCATTAGCAGACAACCTATGAACTCTAGGAACCTTGACTTATGCAAAGCAAACGGCCTCACCCTGCTGCCTGTTGAAACATGCATAACCTAAGAACAGACAAAAGAAACCAAAAAACACAACATTCATTGATCAATCATCATTCATTCTACTTCAAAAATCAACATTACCAACATCCTGGGCCTGAAGACTGAACACGTCACCTACAGAACCAGTCCCTTCTTGTCGATCCATATTTTACGAATTATTAAACACTAGAAAGTTACAGAGAGAAGCGCTAAAAATTTCCAAAAACAATGGGAAAAATTTAGTAGATTTTCCATTAGTCCAAAAATTTTTCGCCTACGGCGCTATATTTTTCTCTTAGTGGGTTCTAGTAAATTTAAATATCGAATATCGTTTCTAGTGGAAGCTTTTCGTTCAGAGTTGGCAACACTGCTTCGTCACAACAGTGACGTCGCATACCATTGGGCGTGTTCTTTTATTCAGCAATGGATCCATCTGCTGCCAGCATTATGAGACAGACATTCCAATTTTCTATGAGCTAGACAAAGAAAGGCTGATTACCGATGGATACACCGCTGAATAAAAGAAAGCGCCCATTTTAAACCGAAATCGACCGGTTTGCCAAATGTCACCTGTATGACGCGATGGAGATGGTATGCCTGAAAAAATGAAAATAAACAAAATACTGAATACTTTTTATTGTTGGAAATTAAAATTGGAAATAGTGAAAATTAATTGTGTTTATTTGTTGTGTATGTGTATAATTTCAAATATAAACAAAAAAATGAGGTTAAATTACTCCAAATTAGAGAGAGATAGCAAGCTACCAATTCAAATAACCGTGCTCCAAGCTCGGTACCCAATTTGACATACCAAAATAGATAGCAAAGTTATCGTGACGTCATTAGGCGATTTCGGCAAGCTTTGGTTGGTATACCATTTGGTTAACCAATTGGTACCTGCAACGTCATAGTAATGACGTAAGATACCATTTTGTTCCGAATTCGTTTGGTAGGTCATAGGAGAGGGGAAGAGACGAGCCTTAACCTAACTTTGTGTTGTTCTTCTAGTTTTGGGAGTGACTAGGTACTAACTGCACTGACTAAAATGTATAATCACTAATCAGCACTGTCTAGACAGTACCTTTGAGTAACTCAGCGTTTTCTGTAAATTTAAAGCTGTTAAAGTTACCTCATATCTGTCGTTCAGAGCCGTTTTTCAAATGATCGTCAAACATTATTTGGCAGTCAAAACATACGAGAAATCAGGAAGATGAAGGCGAAAAAACAAACATATTTGTTAAAAATTTCAAATTATTCAAATTCTAATGAACTTCCATTTATTTACATTTTCCAGAGCAGGACAAAACGAAAATAGACGTAGATAGCACTATACCAAATAGAAGAACCGTGCTGCTGACCACGGTATCCTATTTGACAGACCAAAAAGGATACCAAAGTCACGGTGACGACATCATTTTCGTATCCGAAATTGGTTGGTATGCATTTGACAGACCAAACAGGGTACCAAACCATGTACCAAAGCTTGCCGAAATCGCCTATTGTTTTTCGTGCCGAAATTGGTTGGTACATTTTTGTCCAACCAAAGTAGGTTACCAAAACGTGGCGAAATCGTCTATTATCGATGAATTGACCATTCTATGTCAGTCATTGTCTTTTTTCATTCACTAAACAAAGATAGCCAAGTTATCACCGATTGGAATAAAAAAAAGCGGGCACGACACAGTACTGTCACTGTCAGTCACGACAATTTTTTTTTTACGTAGCAGTCGTAGCAGTTGGTACTGGTAGGTGGGTGGTAGTTTGAGTTGTGGACGTGGAGTGTAAAGTCAAGAGTGTTCTGATAAAATCAGTGAATAAAATATACTGTGAAATATCCAGTGGAAATAATCCGAAGTATTTTAATTTTAATTTTATAAACAATTAGAAAACCATAATTTTATAAACCATAATGTCGACGTCGGGTGATTCTGGCATTAATCCTCTAAAAAAATTCAAGTTAGTTTTTCTAGGAGAGCAAAGTGTGGGAAAAACATCTATAATTACAAGATTTATGTACGATAGTTTTGATAATACCTATCAAGCAACCATAGGAATCGATTTTTTGTCAAAAACGATGCACCTAGAAGATAGGTCTGTAAGATTACAATTATGGGATACTGCTGGACAAGAAAGGTTTAGATCTCTAATACCTTCATATATCAGAGATTCAACAGTTGCTGTAGTAGTGTATGATATAACAAATGCAAATTCTTTTCAACAGACATCAAAGTGGGTTGACGATGTTAGAACCGAGAGAGGTAGTGACGTAATTATAATGCTTGTGGGGAATAAAACAGATCTTGCAGACAAGAGGCAGGTTAGTACAGAAGATGGAGAACGTAAGGCAAAAGAATTAGACGTTATGTTTATTGAAACTAGTGCAAAAGCTGGATATAACGTTAAACAATTATTTAGGCGTGTAGCTGCAAGCCTTCCTGGTATGGACTTCACAGAAAATAAAACCCAAGACATGCAAGAAATTGCCCTGAAAGACACGCCCAATGAAGTGAAAGATCCTGACGGAGGCTGTGCATGCTGATTTTAGTTTTAAAGTTCACATTACCCAGTTTTTTGTGCTTCGATTGATGGACAATACTTTACATAAAATGTTTAAATACCTATATAAAATTGAAAGCACGAAGAACTTTACTTTTCATAAGATTTAATAGTTAATAATTTTAATTTTACGAGATTATCTTTGAAGGCATTCCAGGAGGTTTGTCCCTGAAGGACGAAGGAAAAGGAATAAATATCCTAGGTGGTATACCTACTACAAAAACTAGTAGGAAGATAATAAACTTTTAAAAAAAAATGGAACCAAGGATACTATAAATCGTATTCTGTACTTCAGAAGAAACATTCAATAGACCTTAACTATAACTATCTTCTTTATGCCACTTGTATTGAACACCTTAAGAAATTGCAGATTTCTTTGCGGTATACTTTGAGAGCTGTTATGAAGACTACTAGGATCATCACATTCCCGGATATTGCCTTACAGGAAGCGTGTGTGTCACTCATATATCACACGTTCAGCCCTGAGGAGGTTATTAAAAGACTGGACAAGAGTAAAAATGCTGGTTCTGACTGAATACCGCCATTATTTCTAAAAAACTGTCGCAGTTCTTTAACGGCCGCATTGAGTTTCATTTTCCAGATTTCGTTTAGCGGGGGCGTTTTCCCAATGTTGTGAAAACACTCCTGGCTGGTTCCCATTTTCAAGTCAGGATCCAAGAAGGACATCGAAAATTATCGAGGGATCTCTTTACTACCAATTGGCTCCAAAGTTTTCGAATCAATAATATAAACACATCATATCAGACGACCAGCATAGTTTCTTTAGAAGCAGATCAACCGCCACCAATCTAGGAGTGTTTCGGGACTTTTTGGTTAACAGCGTGAGGAAAGGTTTTCAGGTGGACGTCATCTACACATTCGACCGAGTCTCTCATCGATTGCTCCGATGGTTGCAGATATCGCATTTGGGACCAATTTTGTTTCGGCTCTTCATTTGTGTTTAGTACGGGTAAATGCCTTTTATGTGCAGACGATCTGAAATTGTTTTGTGAACTCGTTGGAGGACTGTTTAGCCTTACAACGGGATAAGGACAATCTAATGGAATGGTGCAATCTGAACGGTCCAAATATTAACAATAAGTGTAAAGTTATCACTACAGATACCAATATTCCATCGACAACTACTTTCTGGAAAGTGTACGTAACTTTAACGATTTGGGCATAATCTTAAGTATAGTGATTTAAGTGTACTTGTTCATATGTCTGTGATGTGAGAGCCATCATATCATGTGGTTGTATAGCTGTTTCGTTCGTAGTTTTTAGAGTATAATTTGATTTCCAATGTATAATTGTCATGTCCAGCGTCTTGAGCCAGTTCAGGACAAGTTTGCAATATCTCTTATCAAACTCGTATTCAACTTGCAAGAATCGAAAGTATGGAACTACATCGGCAGAATGCACTAGTGCCTTTTTTGTTCAAATTAGTTAACGGACAAATAGATTGCAGTTCACTATTGTCCCTAATATTGCTTAAGATCCTGCAAAGAACAACAAGATCAAGACATAAGTCTTCCATGTTCGACATCGTAGAACTAATTATGGAACACACAGCTTTTGCGACAGGTTGATGAAGAATTATGATGCAAATTTCGGAAGTGTCGACTTATTTATGTACAGTTTTGAAGTTTTTAAACATAAAGTTAGGATTAAGTAGATGTAAGGCACTGTAAAACTGTATATGCAGTCCTGAGCATTAAAAATAATGGGACACCCGATTTTTCCTATTGTAAAACGGGCTCACCAGCTACACCGTCAGTAATGACAGGGATTGTCATATTTGACAAAAAATCCGTTGTACGTTGTACAGAAGATACTACCCAAAATAGAGAAAAATGACGAGACCTGTCGGGTGTCCCACTTTTAATGTTTACGACTGTATACAGGATGTTTCACGAACATCGAAACAGAGGCGTTTCGGAATATTTTAAGGTCTCCTGACTTTCCTTTCAGTGTCCTTATTCTTGAAACGGGGGAGTAGCGTTCCCAGGAGAACGAATGTTTTGTCTTTGTTACTTATGTTGTCATTTGCATATCATTGAGATGAGAAAGACGGAACACACTTTCTCCTGGGAACATTGCTCCCCTGTTTCAAGAATAAGGACCCTGAACGGAAAGTAAGGAGAGTGTTAATTTGAGAATAACGGGGCCAGAAGATTTGTTTCTTATTTAGCCTATGACAAGTTTGACAATAAATATCTTAAGAACTAATCATTCTATTTTCAAAAAAAGTACACAGTTGTGACGAGAATCAAAATACCTTTGAAACAAGGTACCACTCGACCCATCTTCCATATCTAAAAAAGAGGGGTGAAAGTGACCCCACCCAGGAAGTGCACCCTAGCGAAATACCGATGGGATCAAAAAGTTTTCGCCTCGTCAAAATTGACGTGTCCGAGCATTTTTTTTTAAATTCATACCTTAAAATACCCTAAAACGCCTCTGTTTCGATTTTCGTGAAACACCCTGTATATTTGTATTTCTGTGTTTGTTTTTCTCTCATGTACTTATTTGAAGTTTCTGATTTTGTAAGTAAATACCTATTATTTTGTTAATAAATAAATTATTAACAAGCAAACCCTATAGAAGCTTATATTTGTATGTGATAACTTTCCCGATAAACACTCTGTGATATTTACGTAAAGTTTATATTAATTTGAAATATTTTTTTTCACTAGCATTATTAGTTTCATGATGTCAAGTTTATGTAAATATATGTATATGTATGAAAAATTTCCTGGAGATGTCTTAAGGCAGACGTTTGAAAGACGTTGGGTTTTGTAACATACAACAAAATTCAACTTTGAAGGCTCAATCAACATCTTCAAAACTTTGTGACTTAATATGCTTTACATCAATGTGACATTATATGTTATATTTGAGTTAAATTTTACCTAATTGTGACTTGAAAAAAACTTAGTTACGTAAATTTCTACCTTAACTTTATGTAGCTGTGTTCACTGGGTCGTGACAATATTCCCCATTCGTTACTGTAATGAAGCTCATACACATATTACACCTTTTTGAAATGCATTTTCACAATTACATTCAAAAAATCTGAATTACAACTGAGGTTTTCTGAATTACAATTGGAAAAGATATATAGTATAATATAAATTACTATTTCCTCAAAAGCAAACAAAAAAAAACTCGCCTTAATCTAGTGATTGCATGTCGGGGATATTACGTTCATCGAAAATACAAGACATATTGGTCTTGAATTTCGAGCGGATAGAGAAAGGCTTTCTTCTGGGAGCCCCGCGCCTTTTAATACGCCCCTTCTCACTTGTTTTTACAATCACTTGCACTATAAAAGTTGTTGATCCGAACTTGTGAGTAATTAGTATTTCGTAACAACTACTCTTTTGTATTTTGAATATATTGAAGAAAAAAATGTTAATAAAGGTAAGCAATTACAAGCAAAAAATAGTAGTTTTAATTAAGTATAAATTTATTTATATAGTTTGTGGTGCTATCGGCTGTAGCGGCTGTGGGTTTGTCTAGACCTGGAATTGTAGAAACTTGTAAGTATTTTCTAAAAAAAAAAAATATATATATATTTACAGAAAAGCTAAGAACTTTTTTTTAAATCAGTTAAATCAATGTTGCACTTGTATTCAAATTTATTGAATAAAGTAGTTATAGGTAGTAGGAAAATGCACCCTTGAGTCACATTGCTACTCATTAGGTATTTTACTTTTCTTAAAACTTTTAAGATTTTGACATTTAGGAGAAGAAATGTTCTTGAAGGTAAGTATTTTGTAAAACAATGTTTTTATCCATTTTTTTTTCAAACAACTGCTTAATTATTATAGATGTTAAATACATATTAGTTTTCTTAATAATTTATTCAGCAAAAAAATCTTTCAATTTCCCTATAATTTCATGCTTTAGAGCATTTCCTTATTGACATTATTTTATGTCTAATTTTGTTTTTAGTGCAACACATTGCATAACAATTTCCTGATATATCTAACCCAGTCAACACATTATGCAAAGCACGTAAAATACCCATTTCCGTTTGAATTATTAATAAAAAAGAAAAGGATAAACTTCTTCATGAACTATTACGCAAATTATCTTTTTTTTTTAAATATTTACTTAATGACCGACGAGGAAAAAGAGAATGTCTCTTATTATTATGACTTTTTTAATATCTTGATTCCTATATTTTTGAATGATAAATTTCACTTTCAATTCATTCACTTCCGAGACGACGTTCTCTTTTGCGCCCATGTGTATATTTTAGCTAGAACTTGAATTGAGATCAATAATATCATCAATTGATACACGATCAACAAATAAACTTGAAGTAGGTACATGGGGTTTTCGGAAACGATTAAAGATATAGGGTGGACCAAATCGGGAAAAAGTTGCAGTAATCAATGAAATTCTTTCAAAGTTTTTGTTTGTCTTTTCCTGTAAAAGTGTAAAAGGTCTTTGATCATTTAAAACTTACTTTCCAAGAATAAAATGAAGCAAATAATTAATAAATTCTGCTACAGTCTTTAAAAGCTCTTCTTGAATAGCAGTTTTTCTCAATTTGCTTGGTCTCTGGAAGTTGAGAACATCTTTGCAACATTAATTTTCAGTCTTCAGAGATTCAAGAGGCAAAGTATTTGGCCTTGAAAGCTATAAATCCCTATGAAACTCTTTCACGCCCCTAAATTGGGCACTCAAAATGCAATGTCTAGAGTCAATATGAAGCAATAGATATTTATTAATTTTCTATTCTAATTAGGCTACCCAAAACATCTTTCAATGTATAGAAAACGGATTTATTTGAATGCCCTTTGGATCAAATGATGCCCTCGCAACATTCCAACGACTAATGGATGACGTATCATCCGGGTCTCTACTAAAATTCGTAGATTTGCTTCTTATTTTTCATAGATTTGTTCCTGAAAAATCTCGAAACAATTATTCAAGGTAGAAATTTTTTCTATTGTTTCAAATCTTACTTTTGATCCAAATTTCAATTATTATCGGTTTTTGAAGCTTTGAATATTGTTTTTAGGTAAGCATTGACACCAAAGTAGCTGCGACATGCGACTTGCTGCTAGGAAGCAAGAAGCATGCATGTACTTATTTTGGAACCTTTAGAAATATATGGCAGGTTTCACACCGAAATGGCGTCACAAAAATACGACGTGGCATATATTTTGATAGTTTTCGTGCTTCCTGCTTCCTAGCAGCAACTCGCACGTCACATGCTACTTTGGTGTGAATACTCACTAAAAACAATATCCAAGGCCTCAAGAGCCGATAATAATTAAAATTTGGATCAAAAATGAAATTTTGAACACTAGAAAAAATTTCTACCTTGAATAATTGTTTCGAGATTTTAGGAAAATTCAGCACAAATAAATCCATAAAAAAATAGGAGCAAATCTACGAATTTCAATAGTGACCCGGATAACACGTCATTCATTACTCGTTGGAATGTTGCGGGAGCATTTTTTAATCCAAAAGGTATTCGAATAAATCCGTTTTTTACATTTAAAAGATGTTTTGGGTGGCTTAATTAGAATAGAAAATTAATAAATATCTATCGCTTCATCTTAGAAATTGTATTTTGAGTAATTTAGGGGCGTGAAAGAGTTTCATAGGGATTTATAGCTTCCATTTGCTCTTGAAACTCTGAAGACCGAAAATTAATATTGCAAAGCAGTTCCCAACTTCCAGAGACCAGGCAAATTGACAAAAACTGCTATTTAAGAGGAGGTTCTTAAGACTGTAGCAGAATTTATCGATTGTTGGCTTCATTTTGTTTTTGGAAAGTAGGTAAGTTTTGAATGATTATGAATGCTCACAGAGGCTCTCAAGAGCCGGTAAAAGTTCACAATTTGATCATTACTGACTCTTAATTTGTTAGAAATGCACAAACTCTATAGGAAAGAATGGAGTAATCTTTCATCCCTTGGACATATCAGCTTTCGGCCTCTATCTCCAAGTTATCTGTAAAAATACCCAATCAAGAGGAAATAGAAAAGAAAATTCAGTGTTAGGACGAACATACCTATGAATAAAATAATCCCAAGATTAGCTCTCTCCATTAAAATCGCCATATTATTCCTCAAAAAAAAAATGTTGCAGGCACTCGATGGACTTGATATACAAGACCTTATTTATGTTATTTTTTCAAATTAACTTAACAATAAGTCGTACGTTTTAGGTTGAATCAATGATCAGTTTTTAGATGCAAATTCAGAATGAGCCAAATACTATCATCCATATTTTTTATAGCATTCGGTCATGATTTTGGTAGTCAAGGTGGAGACTACCATCAAGGTTTAAGCCTAGCAAGTTTAGATCAAAGTCACGGACTTGGCGACAGCAGTTTTGGAAGCGGAGGCCACTCGTTGCAACTAGAAGGAGGCGACGGAGGTTGGAGCAGCGAAGGCGGAGGCAGCTCTGGAGGCGGCGATTTCCATCACGGAGTTAGTGTTGTCGGAGGCGGCGGAGAACAAAAGGCGGAAACTATCGATTTGACTAATCATGGTGAGGAGTCAAAGTTGTTCAAATAAATACCTAATAGGAATTTTTTTTTTAGGTGATAGTCATCATGGACCGTTTGGAGGCAGTTTTGTAGCTTCAGGGAAATATTCGGCTGGAGGGCATGGAGGTGGAGGTGGAGGTGGGTCCGAAGGAGGAGAGCACAGCTTTGAAGGAGGTTTTGAAGGACATTATAGTGATGTTTTAGGTTTGTACAATTTGTACAACTTATATTGAATTCTAGCTTATAATTTTCTTAATTTAGGTGCTGGTGAGGCTGGTGCAAGTGTACACGAACACCTTTCAGAATTAAGTGGCCATCATCTTTATTGAGTATTAGTTTAAGATTTTTGACTGTTTTTTCTTTGTAAATAGGTACTTTCTGTTGATTAATTTTATTCTTGTTTTTTTTTTAATTTGGTTTCTTTTTTAATAAAATGATAAAAAATTGTTTTAGTAAGTTAAACATTTCCTCTTTAGTCTTTACCAAAATAAAACTCACATTTGTAGCTTAAAAATACATTTTTTTTTATTTACCAATAACTTACAAAAAGATACACTAGTGGGCTACTACTATGGTTTTTCTTTGAAGCTCCAAAATTAAATAAGAAACATCTATTTACTTATTAGCACATCTGGCTTGAGAGTTAGATTAATTTTTACTTCGTTAAAACGAATAAATGTTAACATATAGATATTTAATATAACAACACAAAATGGAATAAATGATATATATGAATATATGTTTGCAACATAATATATTATTCTGTCAAATGAAAATAAATAAATTTGTCAATAATAATTAAGTAAATAATTAAATTCTGGCAGAAAAAAAAAATAACAATAATATAAGCTGCCCAAATCAAAATGAGTATTGAATTCTAGCTTTATTTTGATGACAAAATTGTAGTTTTTATCGATTAGTGTTGAATGGGAATAAGTTTTTCGCCAGCGGTGATAGCCGGTAGGGGAGCCTCGACCGTCAAGACGCCGTCTTTGCTCAGAGACGACTTGATGTGTTCGGGATTCGTGCCTTTGGGCAACAAAAATTCCCTGTTGTACTCTCTGTAGACGGATTTGGATTCTGTTTTTTCTTCGTGCTTGGCATGGACCTAGGAATTTGAGAGTATTAAGTTAAAGTTTGACAACAAATGGATTAAATATTTAACAATATGTATTACTCAGAATAAAGATTTGAGTAAATTTGTTTTTTCAATGCTAAAAAAGACACTCAGCTGAGGATGAACAGTTTATAAAGCAGGAAATCAAGAATCTTTTGGTAGAAAATATTATTGAAGAAAGCAATTCTCCATGACGAGCTCAAGTTTTGGTACACTCACAATGAAAATCTCAAACGACGTATGTGGGTAGATTATTCACAGACCATCAACAAATTTACTCTACTAGACGTCTATCCGCTTTATCCACGTTAGTCAATAAGATTCCGAAATATGAAGTGTTTAGCACAATTGATTTGAAAAGTGCCTATATCATCAGATACTCATCAAAGAACAGGAGAAACGATTCTGTATTCGAAGCTGCTGGTAAGTTGTATGTTCCGAAGAAAACCTTTTGGTGTAACAAATGGACTGGCTTGCTTTCAAAGGGTAATTGACCTAATAATTTCAGAAAAAAAATTGATAGGCGTTTATGCCTATTTGGATGACGTAACCGTGTGTGGCGAAAATCAAGAGAAACATGATCAAAATTTGAAGAAATTTCTAGAAGCCGTCAGAAAACGTGGACTTACACTAAATCAAAATAAATGTTCATATCCTCAAAAATCAATCAATATCTTAGGCTACAGATCTATGAAATCCGATCCGGACGTATTTTCGCCACTTTTCAACTTACCGGTACCTATAAGAGCACAAGTGAACTTCAAATAGTAGGTACTAGGAATGTTAGAAATAGTACTAGGAATGTTGTCCCATGAATACAGAATTTTTCAAACAAAATCAGAAGTTTCGTCAGCTGTAAGTATTCTCCTTTACTAGAAAATCAAATCCTGAATTTTGAAACGATAAAGACAGACATTGCAAACTCACTCCTTTGGTCAATAAATGAACATGAAACTTTAGTTGTGGAAACTGATGCATCAGAATTCTGTATAGCCGCGACACTGAGCTGATCAGGCAAACCTGTAGCTTTTTTCTCAAGGACCTTGTCTGAATCAGAAAGAAAGCATTCATCTGTAGAAAAAGAAGCGTATGCATGTGTAAAAGCGTTAAGAAAATGGAGACAATATCAAAGTTGTGACAGATCAGCAAGCAGCTTCATTTATGTTTGATACTAAACATTCTAGTAAAATAAAAAATAAAAAAAATCATGAGATGGAAACTTGAACTAACTTGCTACAGCTTTGAATGGATAATAACTACGGTTTGAAGATGACACCATGAGATAAGGAGCTGCGGTCAAATTCCGGGAAAACCCCAAAAAAATTTGGGGTTGGCCCGGGTCAAACTCCCAAAATTTCAGATCAAAGGCACCGCCGACCTAGAAATTTTCCCACGGTGTCGAAAAAATTCCTAGGACCAAGTGCCCCGTTACTACTGGACAGACAGACTATCAGCTTTGGCCGCTAGCTGTCAGATACTGACACATGAAGCCGCCATTGACACCTGTACTACCTAGCACCCAAGCCCACGGTCAGATGGCACACTTAACGCAAGCTTAAGCTAACGCTAACGATATTACCATTACGATAACGTTATGTCGCAGAACCAGCTTTGTTTAACTACTATCATTTATCAGCCTGGAAATAGAAACACAGTAGCTGATGCATTCTTGAGAATTTCAGCAAGACAAAATATTTCAACTACATGTTTTTGCTGATTATAAGGGCCAGTATTTCAATGTCGCGCCTTAAGATACAGAATAACGTTAAGTCATCCTTAATACAAGTTTCACCGTATATCAAAGTTTCCTTAATTCAAGGTGGAACTTACGTCACCTGAATAAACTGATTTCCAAGTTTACCTAAACGTTAGGGTATCTTAGATAAGTCTTGATTTTGAGATAACATTGAAATACCGGCCCTTAGTTAAATAGTTATCATTTAATTAGTTATGTCATGTTTTTGCTGATTAAGGGCCAGTATTTCAATATCGCGCCTTAAGATACAGAATAACGTTAAGTCATCCTTAATACAAGTGTCACCGTATATCAATGTTTCCTTAATTCAAGGTGGATCTTAAGTCACCTGAATGAACTGATTTCCAAGTTCACCTTAACGTTAAGGGTGTCTTAGGTAAGTCTTGATTTTGAGGTAACATTGAAATACCGGCCCTCAATTAAATAGTCATCATTTAATTATGTCATGTTTTTGCTGATTAAGGGCCAGTATTTCAATGTCGCGCCTTAAGATACAGAATAACGTCAAGTCGTCCTTAATACAAGTGTCACCGTATATCAAAGTTTCCTTAATTCAAGGTGGATCTTAAGTCACCTAAATGACTGATTTCCAAGTTTACCTCAATGTTAGGGTATTTTAGGTAAGTCTTGATTTTGAGGTAACATTGAAATACCGTCCCTTAGTTGAATTGTTATCATTTAATTATGTCATGTTTTTGCTGATTAAGGGCCAGTATTTTAATGTCGCGCCTTAAGATACAGAATAACGTTAAGTCATCCTTAATACAAGTGTCACCGTATATCAAAGTTTCCTTAATTCAAGGTGGATCTTAAGTCACCTAAATGACTGATTTCCAAGTTTACCTCAATGTCAGGGTATTTTAGGTAAGTCTTGATTTTGAGGTAACATTGAAATACCGGCCCTTAGTTGAATTGTTATCATTTAATTATGTCATGTTTTTGGTGATTAAGGGCCAGTATTTTAATGTCGCGCCTTAAGATACAGAATAACGTTAAGTCATCCTTAATACAAGTGTCACCGTATATCAAAGTTTCGTTAATTCAAGGTGGATCTTAAGCCATCTGAATGAACTGATTTCAAGTTCGCCTTAACGTTAAGGGTGCCTAAGGTAAATTTTGATTTTAAGGTCACATTGAGATACCAGCCTTGAAGCCTTGAGATCCGAAGGTTTATTCATTACAGTTATGTTTTTGAATGATTGACTCTTATTTTGGGTGCTTCACAGAATCTCAGGCTCATCATTGAGACCAAACTTGGAATAATAGAAATTGATCTTCTGAGCCAACCTCCCATTCAGCACACATTATGGATTGAAAAGAGATTCAAAGACGTTTTCAAGACATCTCGTTGAAGAGGTCTTTAGAATGTTTTAGTCTTAAAGATGTCTTTAGGCAGATGTCTGAAAGACTTTGGATTCTGTAGCATACGACGTTTTTGAGATGTCTTTATAGGACGCCTTGAAAACGTCTCGAATGTCATTTATGGACGTCTTTAATATGCCTTTTTGGTGTCAGGGCTGTTGAAGATCCAAAACCAAGTAGCGAGGATTTAGAAATCAATGGCATATAAATTGAAGCGACCATTATTGAACAGAAACCAACATTCAGAAGTTGTTTTGACATCAATCCCCAATAAAAAGGATAACGTGCCTATCATGAGTTCATCAGATGATGATTCAGATGAGATGACCATCAAGTGGTACAAAATGTGAAGTTATCGGTACTACACAAAAAGGAGTGAGGATGTTATCGGAGAAATGCCTTCTGAGTCTCAAATTGGTGAAAAAGATGAGGCTATTTATCAGCTTTCTGATACCAAACACTTTCAATCAGCTTCAGAGACAATACAAAAAACTTCCACAAAAGGATCAGCATCTACCTCTGAACCATTTCTTACAAAAAATTACTTACCAACAATTTGTTATCGACAGTCTTGACGACAATTTCTTCGGGAGCGTACTGGCTCACATCGAATCTGAGTTTCAAGCTCTTGTCGTTACCGTCGCTTTGGATCAGAGGAGAGTTCAGATCGTCGTACCAAGTGCGCAGCTCGGCTGGAGGTCCGGCCCTGTGCGCAAGGTCTTGCGAGCTTGTGTTGGACGATTGCGTGGTGCTAAACGAAATCAAAATTTAATTACAGACACATTCTTTAGATAAGCAAATAATGCTCATAAAAACAACCAATTAAAGCTAATCAGTAGTTACACGTTTTAATGATACCTTTTTGGTATTTCTACCAACTATTGGTCAACGTAATGAGGAAAAAATACACAATTGAAGGTCACTTAGGAGGTTTATTATTGTAAAACATCTCTGTAATGTTAGCTTTTATGTAATAGCTGGCAAACAATGGAATTTGCGTGTGTATAATATGTTAGCCAAATGTTGTTTGAATAAGATGATGTCATATAGTACTTATTTAAACATCTAACAATTTTACAAAGTTACCTGGAGGATGAGGAAGTCGATTTGCTGGAAGCCAGTTTTTCGTTCTTGCCTTCCTTTATCACCTCAGACTCGTAAGACATGCAAGGCAAAAAAGCTAAAGGTTAGACTGGTTATTGTATAAGCGTAGCAAAAAGCTCCATAATTTTTGGTTAATTTTGGTTAAATTTAGTTTATGCTTACCTAGAAAAGAAAGTTTATGGTTAATATAAAGCGAGAATAATGAATTAATTTTATTATAAAGATTAGATATGTATAAGGACGAATCAAATAGTCAAATATCTATTATTAAGTAATACTTGTCTACAAGAAGGTTAAAAGCACCCATGAAAGTAAACCCACTACGTCTCTGTCTATTGGTTGAAATTTTTAAATATTTACTTAAGACAAACATGACATGCCACCTACTAATACATTTGCCCATATGTTCAAAACCTAAAAATATAATAATATTGCAACAAAAATGTCTGCCTGTGGTGACCATATTTGAGTTTGCTGGGTATGATTTATGGTCGCGGTTGGGTTTCTGTTTGCGACATGTCGTTTTTAATTAACTTTGTGGTGGCGGATTTATGGCAAAGTAACTTGTCAATTAGTACTGAAAAACTGCGCTTTAATTAAAATTCCAAAAAAATATCTTCTGCACAGACATTGACCACTCCCTTTTGATAAAAATTATCACCCTTGCATTAAATTGACTTTTATAGCTTTTGCCACCCCTCTTGTGTCATCCCTTTAATTGGGTTTAATATAAAAGGGAATTGTTGGAAGTCAATATTTGAAATTAATGCGGAAAAAAAAATGTTAATATACAAACCATTAAATATTCAAATCACGTTTGCGAGAATAAAATGTCCAAGGTTGGTACACATCTAATGAAAATATAGCCGGCTAATCTCATTAGCAATTATAAACAGTTCTAATTGCATCGATGGACATCGCAAATAAAGAATCTATTGATCAGAGGAGCAGCAAATTATCCTAATGGGACAAACAGGACATGGTTTGTTGTTGATTTATATGGGTTTTGGACCACGTGATACCATTCTACTAACAAAGAATATGGTATAAAATCTGTAAAAGTTAAACGATTATGGAAAAACTGTGCTTGAACTTGCTTCTACTTCATTTATTTAGTCCATATGGAAGTATTTTCTTCTAATACCATATCTGGACTTCAAATATTTCCACCATAAATAACAAATGTGCCTTTTCCTTGAAATACAATTTTTTATTCTGATTGATTATTGATCTGTTTTTTGTATCAACATTTATACCTAATGACTTCCTAGAACATCGATTTACTTTTAAAATTCATTCGGCCCACATACAAAAACATCATTAGAATTTCATTTGAGTTGGAAAACAAGGATAAAAGGATTCCTGGAAATCTAAAAATATTATGCTTAAATTTCCTTGAATATAATGGAATAAATAACTTCAATTCTGCACTGACCTTGCCCCACATGATTACTCAACTGCGGAGGGGTTGTATTTAAATATTCACCCCTCTAGGGGAATTAAATACTTCAAGGTTTTAGCAGAGGGAAAGCTCCCCTTTGCGTGCAGCTTTTCATTTATAATAATTTCTTATAAGAAATTTTTAAAACTTTCTATTATCGGACGGTGACATCACCAGAGTACCTACTTATTTAGTATCACACCAACCATAACTATTTATACAAGTCATATAATAAAAGTAGGTACTTGAAACATGAAGGCGTGAAGTCCACATACATTATTTGTATTCGCACAGTAGGAATTTATTGAATTGATGATGAGATTTTTGCTTATTATACGTGTAGCTTGAAGTTAAAAACAATAAATTACTAAATCACCAAGTCCTATTTAAAATAGTTAAGATTTGTCATCTGCACTTAAGTGTTTTGTTATGAATTCTTTTGGCAAAGTTTTAATTAAACCTGACAACCAGCGGGCCAAAACTCATATTTTTCGAATTGTCTAAAAATAATTATGAATCACCCAGCGATTTCAATGCTGGAAGTACAAATTGCAAAATGGTAATTAGTAAAAAAGTAATTTGAATGGCTGAAATATCCTGCTTCCTGTTGCCATTTATCTTCAATAAAAGCGCCTTTTGAGCTCTGCCAGATGTAATTTATGACACATCATTAGCGGCATTACAGTATGAGTTATAAATAATTTTTTTCGTTTGATAAATAGGTCTTTCCTTAATCTAGAAGTTGCAAAGAAGTTTGTTATTTTTGTCATTTACTGCTACATACTTTTGTCCAGTGAACTTTGAAACTCTTCTATATTTCAGTTCTCAAACACTGTAGTGACATAGGATTGAATTCATACTAATATGGAAAGGTTGAGAGGGTAGTCAGAAACAGGAAAATACCATTCAGGGGCGCATATAAGGGGGGGGGGGAACTGGACAAGCTCACCCTGGAGTTAAAATTAACCCGGAGAAGACTCGCTATTGAGAAACCGGCCCTTATGTGTCCAGTTGTAATGGAGTTATGCTTAACCTGGTGGTGACTTGCTATTGAGAAACCGGCCGAATTTATAGTTGCTTCTTTAGGTTTCCTCAGACCTCAAGCAGGCCTTGAACGTTTAGAATTGACATGACTAACTTGTCACATAGTAGCAAGTGTCCATTCTAAACTCACGACCTTTGAAGGTTCCTGAAAAATATTTTTATCCATCCTAGCAACTTGAATCTTGAATTTGTAGATCTCATTGAAAACTACAAAAAAACTTATTAGAGTTACGCTTCTACGGAGCACCATTTTTGAGAAAATCGACTTCAAATCTTTCAACACATTTTCAGAAAAAGTTAAACTTTGACGGCTTTTATCTCGGAGACAAAAACAACATGGAATATCGATATGAAAAACATTTGTAGATAATTTAATGCTCTTTCAAAAGAAACCGGATTCGAGATAATCGGTTCGAAATCACCAAAGTTATAAGCGAAAAAGTGGCGCCGTGTCAGGTACCCAAAATTATCCAATAGAAAAATATTTTTTATTTTTTTGCGGGCTTAGGAAGCGTTGGGGCAAAAAACGCCTAGAGACATTTTCGACGTATTTTTTGTTCCTCTATCCGACGCAAATTTTAATTTTTCAAAATTCGAAAAATTAAATGCAGGGCGCGTATACCCCACTACACGCCCTTTTTCAAAATTAGGGGGATAGGGGCTAAAACCTTTCCGGTAAGTCGTAGAGAGCTGAAACTTGAAATTTCAATTTTTTCAGACCTCTTTTACGTACAATCCAAATTTCGTCCAATCGGCCCAAAAAAAATGTAGGGGCCCCAGCATTCTATATAGGGGCCTCTCGTATTTTTTTTTCGATAGAGTACCCACTATATACGTAGGTACCAAATTTCAGCTTGATCGGACCAGCGGTTCGGCCTCAGCGATTTTTTGAAAATTAATTCCCCCCATCGATGGGGGGCCTAAATACATCACTAACTCGGGCTGGAAGCCCTCGGGTCGTCATATTCAGGTCGCAAAGGGGGCCTGTTCTCGAGATATTGCGTTTTTTATGTTCCCCCCCCCCCCAGAATTTTTTCAAGGAAGACTTAAGGAACGGCTATAAATTCGGTCTTTACCTATTGTTTGCCCAGCGGATCTGAATCTACGGAAGGAATTTGGACATACATGTGCTATGTTGCCACGTTTAATTATAAAAAAGCGAAAATACTAGGCATGAAGTATAGTTATTTTTGAAAATCCATTTTTTAATAACAAAATATTGATAACAATAACAAAACGCTAAATATTTTAACGTGGTTGTTAGATCTATCCTTATTTTAATCCTGATTTCTTCAATTTGGTCTATTGTAAAAAATAAACATTTTCCATCAGCTTTTGACAATTTGGCAAGCATCCGTCCTGGATGAACCTGATTGGTGGAGTTTTTGGCAGGATCGCCGTTGTCGTGGGGAACCATACGGTTGTCAATGAGCTAACGTCACCTTACGTCTCGCTATTGGCTAGGGCTCACAACATTTTATCCTCCCATCTTGGAATATCGATTTATATTGAAATATCCAGTGGCGAAGATTTGGTCATTGCTGATTTTCGTGTACGAGTTGTAATACGATAACACTTCCAAAAAGTTCCGCACGCAGCTGGGTATTTTATGAATGAAATCAGCCATTTTTTTTACAACTGCATTCCCCTTACCGTTGCCCCGTAGACACAGAGTCGCTGGGCAGACATTACCCTACATCTAAAAACTAGGGATGCCCATCCAATTAAAAATATCGATGTTTCGGTATCGATAAAACATCGAAAGCTGATATCGATGTTAAGAAAATATTGATAGAAAAACATCGATGTTTTCTCAACATCGATTTTTGGATTGTAAACTATGTAAACTAAATTATGGGTAATAATTTGGGCGTGACACCCCCCAAAAAAATTTCGGGGAGCCTGCGGCTAGCTGCCTCCGGCGGTAAGTACCTAAGCGTGTATTCGATTTTGTTTACCCCCCCCCAGACCTACACTTTGGATGCGCCACTGATACCATTGGCGTACACTCAATCGACCTACGAATGGACTGAATGAAGAACCATACGAAAATATACAAAACTGTATGATTATTCAAAAATTGTATATAGGATTGAACTCATACTAACATGGAAAAGGTTGAGGAGGTCAGGGGCGTAGCCAGGATTTTGTCTTAGGGGGGG